GGGCATCTTCCTTGCAGTGTAAAGTACTTGATTTCTTTTTAGTGGTGCTAATCTTTTCAACAACCAGAAATTCCTTACCCTCAACTTTAAATGGCATTTTCTGGACAAATTGCAAGTTTTTCTAAACTTTCTATTCTGTGTTCTATGCCTGATTATCACAGTAAACCTGGCTAAAAGCCACTAGTGATTCCAGTGCCGAATGCTGTTCCACCAGATTAGTTTATCAACTTTAAATTCAGTCTCACATAACATCTCAGGACATGGACAAAATCATTGCCAGAATATAGTACATGTGGCCTCAAATCCAATTCCTAATAGAGTCCTCATTCCCATCGGAAACCTCATGAGCACAATGTTTACTGTTTGCATTTCTGTTGGCATTCTGGTGCCGCAGTCTGGCAGGGCACAAAATCACGAGCCACTCAAGCAGGAACAAACTTCATTTTTGAAACTGCCACCAATGCCCCGTATGCTCCTGGGAAGATTACCAACCGACCCTCGCAGTGTTCGGCCCCCCACCAGAAGTCCCTCCTCCTGAATTCCCTCCTACTGCACTTCCCCAACCAATGGGAACTCTCCAGGAGTCCTGTAGCAGGCCGAGGTGGACCTCAGGAGTCCAATATCCATATGAATGCAGAATCTAAACATAATCATATCATCTCAATGGCTTGCTGGCAGCACCTTTCAACCAAAAATGCCATGCATCATATTACTTGGCTGTGGCTCTTAGCATTCTGGTCTTCCACGCTTACTGCATGATCTGCACTGCCGGTATCCCCACCCTGACACACAGTGCTTGTCCTCCCAAGCATTTCTTTGAAATCTGGGTGGAAACATCTGTGACCCTGTAACTCCATTGTTTTGCATTCTTCCTTAGGACATTCTGTGATTTATCCAGCCTACCTCTTGAAACTTTTCCAAATTCTTCCCACAAATCATTTTCATGGTCAGGGTAGTCACAGAAAGAACCCCACTCCTGGTAACAGTATTCTGATTTATTTAGCTTTCTCTTGCTGTGACTAAAATGCATGACATGAACAATTTAAAGAAAAAATGCTTTATTTTTGGCTCATTGTTTCAGAGGTTTTAGTCTATGGTTGGCTGTCTCCATTGCTTTGGGGCTGAGATGAGGCAGAACATTGTGGCAAATTGTCGCTGAGAGATGGTTCTCAGCTTATGACAGTCAGGAAGCACAGTAATGGAGAAGGAAAAAGGGATAGGGATAAGAAAATGCCTTCCAGGGCATGACACCATTGATCTACTTCCTCCAACCATAACCCACTTCCTACAGTTTCCAAATACCTCTCAGTAGTTCATTTAGCTATCAATGGGTTAATACCCTGATGAGATCAAAGCCCTCATGAGTCAATCACTTTTCCAAAGCATCACCTGTGAGTATGCCAGAACTGGGGAGCAAGCTTTTAATATACAAGACTTTGGGGAACATTTCAGATCCAGACTTAAAAATAATATATTTTATCATTGGCATGTGTGCATATTGTAGGGAAAAAAAACATACTTCACTAAGCACAGTGTTCTTGTA